ATCAATATCTATTTGAAATCTATTTTAAAATCAGTATACACTTTGAACCAGCAACTTCATTCCGGAGGATCTATCTTTTTTTTTTTTTCAACGTTTTTTTTTTTTTTAATTTTATTTTTGGGACAGAGAGAGACAGAGCATGACGGGGGAGGGGCAGAGAGAGAGGGAGACACAGAATCGGAAGCAGGCTCCAGGCTCCGAGCCATCAGCCCAGAGCCTGACGCGGGGCTCGAACTCACGGACCGCGAGATCGTGACCTGGCTGAAGTCAGACGCTTAACCGACTGCGCCACCTAGGCGCCCCTGCGGAGGATCTATCTTATAGCAATAAAGGCACTAGTGTAAAGGGGCTCTATTTTGCTGTACCATTTGCAATAGCAAAGCCTGGTAACACACTGAATGTCTATCAATAATGGAACCATTAAAAAAAATGGAACCATTGAATAAACCACAGCACATCCATGCTATCGCCTACTATGTTGCTCTTGAGAAGAATGAATAAAATGGGCAACTACTGACATGGAGGGAATCCTTGATATGTTTTAAGAGACTAACACCAATGTAAACCTCTAACATACTATTTGCCCCTTTACAGCAGGATCTTTATAGTGGCTGTCTCAAGAGGCTGGGAGGAAGGAGGTTAGGGACAAATAGTTAAATTTGCGTGTCTTTTGTTTCACTAGTAATAAGGAGCTTTTTTTTCTTTTTTTTTTTTTTTTTTTTGGTAATTAAAATGTGATAAAAATTTGGGATGTTCAAGTACAGTGCGACTGGTTACCACCATCATTACTATCACTAAATCCCCGCTCTACCCAAAATAGTGACTTTAAGTGTCTGGGAGGGAGGGCTTATGACTCACACCCAGTGGGGTGTGACAGGGTGGGGGGCATTCCCTCACTGCATCCCTGCGAGGGAGGGGGGGTGGTGCGTCAAACCTGAGACAGGAGGGTTTGCAGTTCTGACAAGTCACTGGAGGAAGCTCCAGCTTGGGCCCCTCCTTGTCCTGTGAAAAGGATGCCAGGAAGGCGACCTCCGTTGCCCCCTAAACCAGCCCCTCTGAGTGGGGTTGCTGAGAGAGCTGGGCTCCTCCCAGGAGGAATGCGCTGAGGTCGGCGGGGCAGCTCACGTCTAGCGGTCTTTGGCTCATCAACCACAAGAGGGGGCCCAAGAGCAAGGGCCGGAAGGCCCCCGCGGAAAGAAGTTTTAAAAAAGTCGGGGCATTCCTCTGCCGCTCTGTAGGCCTGTCCACCTGACGCAGCCACTGGCCTCCTTGCATGGTGGGCTGTTAACCTCAGGAGGAAAACTGCTGGAGAGAGCACAGGCCAGGTTGGGCCCCAAAGAAATCAGGCCATGGGCCCAATAGAAACCGGGCAGCCGGGTGATAAAAAGCCATCATTTTTCATGTGGGTTTATGTGGGGGACGGAGGGCGGAAGGAAAGGAGAGTGGAGGAGGTGGCGCCCTGTGTGTCCCTGAGAGGTGAAATCAGAGGAAACGAACTTTAAATAGCAGAGAGATTACAGTCAGATGCCTGAAAGAACTATCAGAACCATCACACCCAGTCATGTATATGTATAGTTTGGAATCCTTTAGGAAGAGAATACTAGGCTCTGTGTGTGTGTGCGTGAGTTATTTGGGGCAGGGATGCCCATAGCCATTTGGGACAGGGAGTGCAGGGGGAGAATTCCAGGATGCAACAATGAGTTTATACTCAAAGGAGCCCCATTTCAGAGCCTGATACTCTCACCTCCCATTCTTGGTTACTAGGAGGACCGCAGAGGGTGGGGATGGTTCAGTACAACCTTCTGTGCTTCACTGAGTTCTCAGCCAGCCAGGGCAGGGAGGGCAAAGGGGAGCTGCTCTACACACTCGGAGGACTGGGAAGTTCTTGGCAAGCCTGGCAGGACTTGTACAGGGAAGCCCTGGCCTCCAAGGCCTCTCTTTCTGCCAATGCCCAGGGCAATTTGGAGCCCCTCTTCAGAAACTGTCTTCAGAGCTGATACACATACTTCTGAAAGCTTTTTCTTTTAAAAGTTTGGAAGTGGCCACAGACACTTGGAGCCAAGTCTGGTGGATAAGGGGAGAGCTTTCTCCAAGTCTCAGTCAGGACTGCTGTTTCTCAAAATACGGCAGTCGGAAGATCTTGTAGAGCAGGGGATCTTCAAGTGTGGGCCCCAGGCGAGCAGCAGCAGCAGCAGCAGCTTGGGAGCTTGTCAGAAATGCAGATTCCTGGGCCCCAACCTCAGACTGATGAATCAGAACTTTGGGTTCTTCCAGAGGATTCTCATGCATGCTCTAGTTCAAAAACCACTGCTCAAGTGAAATCTAATATATCCCAGGCAGGTGGATGTCAGCTAACCAGACTCCTCTTTAATGCCTGTGAAACTCCTGTGTAATTGTTTGTCATATTGGGGCTGTTTAATAATCTGGAGGAGTCATTTTTACACTCTACACTCAGGGATTTAGGCTTTAACATTTTATGCTCTACACTCAGACCTCCAAAAATCAGATGAAATCATGGAAACTGTCCCTAGAAAAATGTACAGACACACGAATACCCAGCTTCAAAGGTTTGCATACGATTTCGAGTCCCTTATTGCCTGGGCTCAGAACCTCTGATCTACACAAAAGTTTTCCCCCAAGAATTTTTCCATTTCGGAAGGATGGAAGTGGGAGGCCTAATTGCGGGTATGATTCAATTTGGGCAGAAGGTGGCGCTGTAGAGGACGAATTGGGGTATTTTACCCAAGCAACTCTAGACTGGGGATAGGGATGTGGGGCCGCAGAGAGGAGTACATAAAGCTGTCTTCTCCACCTCTTGAACTTAAGAGACTACACGTTACTGCTTCTTTTCCTGCCCTCTGCAAGTCCAGGTCCCCTGGGTATCTCCATCACCCAGTTACTCTGTTCTATGAGAGAGATGCATCCAATAATCACAGAACCATAGGTCTGGGGGTCTATCTCGTTTCCCAGTCTAGCCCCATTTTATAGTTGGGAAAGTGGATGTCATAAGTACTGACTCTCCATACTATGAGTGGGGGCGGCAGATGGCACCAGCTGTTTACTCCAGCATATTAGCATTTCTGTCTTCCAGGCAGAGCTAACGCTAGCTGTTCTCAAGGAGGAATAGTAAAAATACATTTATCTGATTTGGTCCTCACAACTCTCTTCTGTATTAGATGAGGAAACTAGGATTTGAAAACCTAAACAGCTGCTTCTCAAACTTCAGGAAGCATCACATCACCTGGAGGGCTTTTAAAGTCTGACTTCTGTATCTCCCCAGCTCTCTAAAGTTCCTGATTCTGTTGGTCCGGGGTAGGGGCCCCAGAACCTGTATTTCTAACGAGTTCTGTGCTGATGCTGCCAATCTAGGTTGTCAGGTAGCTAATAGAAGGTAGCTAGATGGAGCCGAGGTGAAAACAGAAGAGGTCTGAATCAGACCTTGTGAGCCCCGTGCATACATGCATAACCACTCCATCACACTTCCCCCCAGGGCATCCCCAGCACTAGTGGGTCAGACTGTAAGGTCTCTATGAACTTGGGATCTGGTTTCCAGAAACAAGAGGGTCTGGTTTAGTCATTCTAACACTTATTCATTCATCTCATTCACTTACTCACCCTTCCTCTGAACAAACTGAGCACCTACAGTGGACTGGGTGTTCAGTAAAAGTGCGGTATGGGACTCTGGGGGCTCAAGAGTAATACCCAATAGGAGAGACATTGTGGGGGCAGGGAGGAGACATGTGGCCAGGTGGTGATCCTATTGATGCCTTGATGGATGCTGCCAACAAGACAGTACAGAAGAGGGAGAGGAGGGACAGGCTCATTGTCCAGGGGCCTGGGTGAAACCCCCAGAAGAAGTGACCTCTCAGCTAGCCTTGGGGAGGAGTCAGAGGAAGAAAGGGTATGGAGGAAAGGTAGTTGGAGAGGCAGAGGGAAAAGTAGGAGCAAAGGCCTAGAGACATCAAAAGGCAGCTCCATGCAGAGGCAGGGTGGGTTTCCAAGTAGTGGCACAGTGGGCGTCGGGGAAGGAGAGGATGCGTCATGAGAGTGGAAAAGTGTGGAGGGACCCTTACAGAACGTGGGGCCTATAAGGTGAAGGTGCTGTGCGTGCTAGGTGAGTTTGAAGCAGGGGAGCAAAGGGGTCAATGCTGCAGGGGGGCAGCATGGAGGATGGCAGGGCACCAGGCTGGGGATCCAGAGACCATGGCTATAATCAGGGAGCAGTGGGGTAGGAGGTTGCTGATAGATCACTGATACTGACAGATGGGGTCCAGGAAGGGAGGGATCAAGGGTGGCCCCAGATTTCCAGGCTGGGGAGGGTGGTGTCTGGCGGGAGCCTGAGAGGTGGAACTGTTGGGTGGAAGGGGGACAGCAGAGTGATCTGGCACCTTTGCAGGGCCCTTTATGCCTTAAGAATCCCCAACCCCAAACTCAAAATGCCATCAGTCTGCCCTGGTCCTGCGGTGCCCCAGGGGACACAAAGGAGCCCACATCCCATCTCCTTCCGTGAGGCCCGCTTCACTTCCCACCCGCACTGCTGGTTCCCAGGCTGAGATAGTCCAAAAGCCTCTGAAAACCTTGAGCTCTGGAGAAATGTTAGCTGGCATGGCTCTTCTGCCTTCTCTTCCTTTTAAAAGAAGACCCACGGGAGCAGCAGGTGAAAGCGTCCAGCTTTGTGAGGAAGTTCAATACAACCATTCCACCATTGTAGAAAGAGGCACAATAGCCCAGATCCCCCAGGCCCTTGGCAGTAAAGAGTGGTCTCTGAGGGCCCAGAGCGGGCAGAGGGGGACACTGAAAAGGCAGGAAGGGAAACCCAGGGTGGTGGGGGAGACAGCTGGGGAGGAAGAGTGTGGGGATGGGGGACAGGGAATTAGAAGGGACAGATGGGCCCATGGCAGACAGCTAGAGGTAGGGCAGTTTAGAAGAGATCCTGCACCCAGGGCTGGGGAGCCCTGGGATTTGGCCTTGGTGCCTGGGAAGATATGGAAGAATCTTACCTTGACCTGGTCCAGCACCACCAAGGGCCCATTGACGCTGCACACTGTCCTGTAGGCTGGGGGAGGAGTGGAGGTAGGTGAGGTCTCACACCCAGACACACACCCAGACACACACACACACACACACACACACACACACACACACACACAGAAGCATCTTCTGCTTTCTCTCCCTGTATGCACCACCCCCACCCCCTTCCCAGTCTGGGCTGTCAGGGTCATTAGCTGTGACAGGGCCAGCCACCATTGCTGTAAGGGTCATGCCCCTGCCCGCAGGGCTCCCTGCTGGCTTGGACACCTGCAGGAGGCTGGGGGGAGGGCCAGGGCAAGGGCAGAGGCCCCTCAGAATCCTCCCCTCCCCTCTCAACTACGAAGAGGTCTTTCTTATCTTGAGGCTGCTTCCCCTCTGGCCTCAGTCCCCATCTTACATCTCTGACCCACAACATTTTCCAAAAGCTTCTGGCCCCCAGCTAGAAATGGGTAGAGAATTGCCCTCCCTGCCCCCCCACCAGGACCACACTTCCCTCCATCACCTGACACTCATTGAGCATGTGTGCATGGTGTCTGGGTGTGTGAGGGGTGGGGGCTGGTGCATGCATGGGTGAGAAAAACCAACCAGAGTCCCTGCCTGGACAACCTGGGCTCCCTGGGTGCCTGTGGGAGAGGGGAGAGAGTGACAAGGAAAGAGGAAGAAGTAGAATGTCCCAGCCCTAGTGGCTGGAGAGATCCACAAATGGGGAAATGAGCTCAGCTTACAGGGAGCCTCTAACTCCAGTGTTGGGGAGCCCCAAACTCCAGTGATGGGGACCCCAATAGGAAAGCCATGGACTGGCAGACAGGAAGCCTATCTTGGTTCTGCTAGGGGCTGGCTGAGAGATCCTGGGACTCTCCCTCAACTACAACCTGGGAGACATAGCTCTTCCCTGGGGTCCCTGTGAAGCACGAATGAGACCACGGAGACTGTGGCATGGCAGGATGGCCAGAGTGTCCGTGAGGTCACTGAGTCACTCACTGGAAGGACATCAAAGGGAAGAGAGTGGTCTAAGCCTCTTTTCAAAAGGGGAGGAGAATGGGGTCCAGAAGGGTGAAAACCTACGCCAGGGTCACCCAACATGCTTGTGGCAGAGCTGGGGCTGGGACCCCACCTCTTGCTTCCCGTCAAACCACATTGGCTTCCAGCCCTCATGCTTTCATACAAGTCTGGTGCCAAGTCACCCCACACCAAGGAAAACTAAATGCCCCCAGCTCACACCTTCCCCAGTATGGGGCTCAGTGATCATCCCCCTGTTTTTGTCTGATCTGCATTCCTTTCACCAGGGCATGGGCTAGGATGATGACTGGGCAAGGTGATCCCTGCGGGGATATTTGCAAGGCTCTTCTGAGCTTATGGACTGTTAGGAACACTCAAGAACAAGAGGCGCCAGAAGATCCATTCTTCTAGGGCTTGGGCGTGGAGCAGGGGAACTCCTTCAGCTTCCTCCGAGTTCCCATAGAGGAGGTATCCAACCTTCCCTCTAGGCCAGCCTCTCCTGGTCCTGAGGCCCAGACCCCAGAGATGACTACTCCCTAGGGCCGAAGGCCAGTGCCTCCTTCTCTGTGCCGCTTCCATCATGCAACTCTGGTATCTCCCATCTTAAAACCCTCCCTCTGCCCCAGTCCTTCCAAAGCTGCTGCCCTTCACAGCCCAACTTCTGGCAAGTAGGGCTCCATTGCTGACTTCCTTTCTCCACCTTCCACCCTCTCCTTGCACTCTCCAACCTGGCTTCTCTCTAGGCCACCCCACAGGACCAGGTACACTGGATCAGAGCCTCATTTTAAAAAGCACTGGGACAAGCCTCTTGCTGGCCCTATAGAGAAAATACCAGACCAGCCAAAAGGGCTGAGATGGCAGAAGCAAGATGCAGAGTGGGTAGGCTGGATGGGAGGTGAGAGTGTGGGAGGGGAAGGAGCCCAACGTCCAGAAAGCCCCAGGGAACACTTTCCAGTTCTACCTAGGAGACAGGTCTTTCAACTTCCTCTCTTCCCTCACAGCGGTTCCCCATATTTCACAGCTTCTGTCGAGGGAAGCCTGTTAACCTGGACATCCAATAGCTCTACCTTGGGAGGGCAGCAGTGAGTGGCAGGGAGTAGCCTAGGGGCCAGGACGAAGTGCTGCTTGCTGGCCAGGCCCTTGGGCTGGGTGCCCAGCATGTGGTCTGTAAGCCTCTATCTTATCCCACCAGCCTCAGCTATAAGCCGCCTTTCTGGATTTCCAGAGCCCTAGGGCCTCGCTCTAGTAGACTTCCCAAATGCTTGCTGGAGGAGTCCATCACTCCACAGCCTAGACCTTTCACTGCAGATACTCCACTGTGGCTGTTTCTGTTTATCACCCGACTTTTCACGTCCTTCAGTGCCCTGCCCTTAACTGACTCCGGCAGCCACTGGCTCTGCTCCCCACTGAAGTGCCACAGCCCTCAGCCATGCCACTGTAGAAGGCGTCCTGTTCTCCAGCTTGTCAGTCCTTAATGAGATGGATCATGTCTCTCCCCTCAGACTAGAACTCTGTGCCTCCCCAGTCAGACTAGACCATATCTTTTCTTAGAAGCTGTCTAGTTTGGACACCGCCAAGGTGGTGGCTAAGCAACAAAAGTGTCCTTGACATGAAGCCAGGCCTTTTGTTTGCATCCACCCCCAACTGATTGTGTCCATTGCATGCAGTGGCAAATTAAGGCCCAGAAGTTGGCTGATTTCTCCTGGGGCACACCACAAGTCAGTCTGCTTCCTGTGGCACTCCCCCAGCCTTTGGACTTACCCTTCAACCCTGGAGAGGTGAAAGGTGGGGGTAGTGCTGGAGGCAGTGGGCTGGCCCAGAAGACCTCTGAGGGGCACTCCCTCAATAGGCCTTCCTGAGACTTTGCAGACACTCCCTCCCTCTGCTCTGCCCCCTCCCCTTCTCCATTGTCCCAGCTGACACTTTGGGTTGCACTTAGGGCCGCAGGCCTGGAGCCCCTCCCTGCCCCCATCTCCCCACTGCCTTCCCGGTCAAAGGCTCAGCGGGGCTCCATGCAGCCCACTAATTAGGGCCTGCCCAGCCACACCTGCAGCGTCCTGGGAGCCGGCTGAGCCAGGCGCCCATGCGTGAGGTGGGGGTGGGGGCAAGCCCGGGGCAGTAGGTCCCGCACCTCCTCCCTGATCCCCTCCAGAGGGATTAGGGGAGGGAGGGCAGGGGCTGGAAGACCAGGCTTCTTAGAATCAGCCCAAGACCCTGCCTGGTGAAACTCGGTGTGACCTTCCTGGCCTCTCGGTTGAGGAAACTGAGGCAGGCGGCAAAGCCTGCCTCAGTGGTTTGGCATTCCAGCCTCTGGGTGATCATCTGACCAGGCTCTGTCCCTCCAGCAGGGCTGACAGCCTGACATCCGTCCTTTGCTCGTGCTGCGCACTACTCCCCTCCCCCCTTCCCTCCCACCCCACCTAGCATCTTTTGCCCCACACAATGGATGAAGCCCCAAGCTGCCACCTCCCCTCAGGGAGAGAGTTCTAGCTCTGAAGGAGGAGAAGGAGTTCCTTTCTGCCCCGGGTGGGTATTGCTAGGGTTCACTCCCCACTTTATTCTACCCTGCCCCCTCCCTTCTGGCCCATTCCCTCAGCCACTGCAGTGAAATCACCCTTAATGCCTCAGGCCTGTTTGGTTCACTTCCTCCTCCAGGAAGCCTTCTATTGGACTCACCCCATCTATGGCTGAGGAAGCCCTGGAGTTGGGAGCCAGCTGCCCCATCCCCTGTCCCCCTGGGATCCCCAGCTCTCCTCCTGGGCTCTTTCTGTCTCTGCATAAAGTTCTCCTGCCCAGAGCGCATACAGTGCTCAGGTAGGAGGCCAGGGCAGGAGTCCTGCCTCCAGCCAACTGAGGGTAGCAGCTCTAGGTTTTGGTCCTCGCCCCTCAGAGAGGAAATCCCTCAGGCCCCAGAGGCGGAAGGTGGAAACAGAGAAAGCTGTGGGTGCAGAAGCACCCTGAGGAACTCAGTATGCTCCGAGGGGTGGAGGCTGTCAGGCTGGGGCTGGCCCCTGGGGGTGCCCTGTGAGGACACTAGTATGCAGCAAAAGCACAGGTAGCCTTTGTCACTGCGGGAACATCTTTAACACAGGGAGCAGAGTCGTGGTGGAGGGGCTCCCCCTCTGCAGACTCTGGTCTCTGGGTCAGCTGTTGGGTGTGACACATTCACCTGGGTGGGGTCCACATGGAGTGACACACAAGCAGGCATGGGGGCGCTGACACCCCTGGGTTCCAGTCTGGGTCAAATCTCCAGGGCTTGTTGACTCTAAATAAGGTCGTGGCTGGAGGAAACTGGCTGCAGGAGGCCCTGGGGTGAGGTTGCACCCACAGGGTCCCTGGGAGGGCACACTGAAGGGAGTGATGGTGGGGGGAGGGTCCCGCAGGGGTGGGCCATCACTTGGGTCTGGATGAGAGTTAGACAACTTGAGACAACTGGGCTCAGGTCTCCAGGCCTGAGCTCTGGACTCCAGGGGGCTCCAGTCACTGCGAATTTCTGGGCCTTCGTGACCCCTGCTTTGCCCCAGGGGAGAATCTGGATCTCTGCCCTCCCCCATACCTCCAAGACGCAGGGCCTGCAGGGCCTGCAGGGCCTCCTTGGTACATCGGTCTCACTCAGTTTCTCCTTGCTGGAATGCACTCCACCCCTCAGTGCCTGCCTCAGGCCTCTGGAGGTGCCTGCTCACGCCCTGCTCTGCTCCTAAGCACCCCAGACCTGCCCTCTCCGGACCTGCCCCCTCTGTACTTGCTCTGTTCTGGGTGGGTGCCAACTCCGTTCAATGCAGACCTAGCTCGCAGCTGCCCCGTCAGGTCACTCCCACTATGGCCTAGGTAACTAGAGAGGGCCAGCTTCTCTCCATACACACCCTGTTAGGAGCCTCTGGCTCTGCTTGGCTGGTGCTGGCCAGGCCGGTTTACTCCAGTGTGGGGCTGTCTGAGAATCTGAGAATTGGAGAATGACCTTGGCAAGGACAGATGGAGGGGGCTCTCCCTCTGGTCCTCAGAACCTCACCGCTTTCTGTGCCCCAGACATCTGGGCACACCTAGGAAGCCTACAAGGGTAAATAATCCAGCACCCATGGCCATGCCAGGCACTTACCCTCCCCCAACTGTACATACACAGACATAAGACATCACCTGACCGCATACCCATGTTGTCCCCATGAGCACGCACACTCGTGCACACACACACACATTCACCCTCAGTCTGAATGTAAAAGCATGCACATATACTGTCACATTTCCTCACTCTGATCATACACACATGGAAGCTGTCACACACATATTTACACATATCCGCACCCGAGTGGGGGAGCACACACATCCTTCCCCTGCATTATACACACAGACACGTGTAAGGCACACGTGACATGTGCCCACTGACGTGACACACACAGTGTTATGTATTTCTCCATCCTGAAAATGCACATACTTGGCCTTGCCACACGTATTCCCTAAGAACACTTGATCATACATTTCCTCATGCTGAATGTTCTGGTACACATGCTCGTACTCCAAACACGCACATATTCACACAGGAGCGTGTATCACAAACACACACTTGGGCCCGTGGGGAGCTCTCTCTGAACTTGGGGTCTCAGAGCAGGATAAGGGTGATGACCGAGAGGTTCCTGCAAGGACACCCCTGCCCTCTCCGCTGGGGTAGCCTGGGCTGGGGACCCCATCCCTCCATCTGCAGAGGTCGCTCCTCGTCCAGGCAGTCCACCACATCACTCTGCTGGACCAAGAGCCCCCTTGGGTCTTCCTCAGTCTCGGTCCTCCCCTTTCCCTGAGCCTGAGAAGCAGAGCCTGGGGACCCAGCAGCCCACCCCAACCTCGCCCTCTGGGGATTTGTACTCACTGACACGGGGGTGGGTGATGTAGTTTCGGGTGACCGCTTGCATGTGCTCTTGGGCTATGCCCAGGTCACAGCCACCGCTGGGGAGCCCCCCGGGCCTACCGTCTGCCTTCGTGGCCATGGCGAGGTGGCAGGCCGGACCCGAGTGCCTGAGCCTGCTGGTGGTGAGTGCAACACTTCGGGCCCAGCTGGAGCCGGAGTGAGCTTACCAGACTGCCCCTGTGGCCACCCCTCCCCTCACCCCTCCTCTCCTGCAGGAGTTGACTGTAAACAGGGAAACCAGCCTCTGGCCCTGGAGCTCTTCCAGATCTAGGAGGTGCTGGTGTGAACTCAGCTCCTCCCCCTGGAACCTCAGGCGCTCTCACAGGCCCTTGCTCCATACCACATCTCATCCTGTTCTCCCCACCACATGCAGTTTCTGGCAGGCTGCCCTCTTCTCCACATCTTTTCCTTACGGCCCCCCCTCCCCCTGACCTGCCCTCACCCTGTACCCCTTGCCCTAACCATACCTACATACTTCTTCCCCTGCACAATTCAATCATCACCTTTTTTTTTGAACATCTATAGAGGATCATTCTTGTGCCAACTTCAGTGCCACCTCCTACAGGAAGCCTTCTCAGCACTCCTGATTCACCACATATGTGGTGTCTTTCCTTTGTCATGCCCTTTTGGAGAATTCTCTCTTGTCACTGCTGCTAGGCTCTGAGCCCCCAAAGAACTGAGTTTGTCTCCTGCATCAGACTTGGGTTTCTTTAAGCCTTTCTCTCTCACAGTATCCAGAACTCCCAGGGAAGCAGGGCAGGTCTCTCTCCATCTGGGCAGAGGACTCTGTCTTACCTCTTTATATTTCACCTGTACGGTCTCATGGGGCAGGTCTATCCTGACATTTTTCAGCCCAGAACAGAAAGTACAAATGGAGGAACCCTCTTTGTGTGAGTGGCTAAAGGAGTTGTGTGTTCCACAGGTCTGCTGGACAAGGCAAGGTAGACACTGGGGGCTGGCTGAACCCAAGGTCTGCCCTGGTCACCCCATGTTTTATTCCAGACTCAGGATGTCCTGGCATTTCTAAGCACCTCCCCAAACTATACTGCCAATGCAGAGGGAAGGGAGGAAGCACAGTTGTCTGGGGATCCCTGTCTGGGTGACTAAGGACAGCCAATCTGAAACCAAACGTGTTTCCAAGAGCAGACTGGAACAGACTGTGCCCGTCTTTTTTCCCGAATGGAGTTGAAATGTCACCTCTGGCCTCTGACTTGAGGACCCATTTCTAGTCCCTGGGCCCTCTCTCACGATTTCCATTCTTTCAAAGAAGTCTCGTGGGTCAGGGGTGACTATGAAGGGGAGAGCTTTGTGGTAATAGGTAGTGCTACATCTTGATCGCAGTGGCGGTTCCACAGATCTTACACAGGGGCCAAAATGACAGGGAACTACACACACACACACACACACACACACACACACACACACACAGTGCCAATGTCCTGGTTTTGATATTACACTTTGGTTATGGAAGATGTAACCACTGGGGGAAACTGGGTGGAGGGTACAAGGAATTCTCTAAAGTATCTTTGTAACCTCTCGTAAATCCACGGTCATTGCAAAACAAAAAGTTAAATACAAGTGTCTTACTTGAGGGAAAACAACCACATTTTTTTTAAAAAAGTGCTTTGTGTTGTGGGGATTGTGATGAGCATGCCCTCTTAGGCATGTGGGATCTTGCCTGGATTTACCTCTTATATCCATTCTCTGGCTCTCTTCTAGATCCTGATCTCACCTTTCATTGTCTGCCCTCCTTTTTTTTTTTTTTAATGTTTATTTCTGAGACACAGAGAGACAGAGCATGAGTGGGGGAGGGACAGAGAGAGAGGGAGACACAGAATCAGAAGCAGGCTCCAGGCTCTGAGCCATCAGCACAGAGCCCGATGCGGGGCTTGAGCTCACAAACCATGAGATCATGACCTGAGCCGAAGCCGGTCGCTCAACCGACTGAGTCACCCAGGCGTCCCCCCCTTTTTTTGTAATTTACTTTGAGAGAGAGAGAGAGAGAGAACGCAAGCAAGCCCAGGGAGGGGCAGAGAGAGAGGGAGAGAGAGAATCCCAGGCAGGTTCCATGCTGTTGGGGTGAGGGGGAGGGTACCCAGTGTGGGGCTGGACCTCTTGAACCATGAGATCATGACCTGAGCCGAAACCAAGAGTTGCTTAACAGCCTGGCCTAACCAACTGAGCCACCCAGGCACCTGTCATTGTCTACCCTCTTGAAGAATTTGACATTTCTACCTTTCAAATATTTTTATGTTTTGAAGAGGACCTTGCAAGGAGCAATGCTTAACCAGCAGAAGCGTCCATGTGGCTATCATGGGCTTTGCAATGCCCAGGCAGAAGCTCTAATTGGGAGCAGGAGCGTGGTACCCCATCCCCCGTAACCGTGAACGTGGCTCCAGTTTTTCTCCCTCCCATTAGAGGTCTCCTGGCTCAGCCCATTTTCCTTCCCGGTGAGGAGAGGGAGGGATGGGATCGAGGGGCAGTGGTGGTGCTGTGGAGACTCTGTTTCCCTTCTTGTCATTGTTTTCCTTTTATTTCAGTGAGAGGCACACACACGCACACTGCACTCGCACACACAAGCTGCGGGACCAAGGCCTTCTGGGCAACAGTCTCTGAGTTGAAAGGCAGGTGGGGCCAGATGTGAGGCTGCCCGCCTCTCTGGGAGCCTGCTCAGGGCAGTCCATGGGGCAGGGGAGGCAGGGGTGGTGCCGTGCTTGGGGACTCGGTGTGGCAGGGAGGTGGAGGCTTAAATGTTGGCTTTCTTGTCACCGCCGCTGCCGCTGGGGCTGCCCACTCTCCGTTCTAGCCTGCTGTAGGGTGCGAAGGCCGAGGAGCCCAGTTCATAGCAGGCAGACAGGTCCAGGAGTGGGGCAGTGGAAAAGCAGAGGGCCGGTGGAGGGGGTGGCAGGGGCGGGGACGCCGACGCTGAGGTCAGTGGGTTGAGGCACGGGGAGGAGTTCCTGGGGTCACCCAGTGAGGTGCCCCTGTGGCCGGCAGGCAGGCCCAGTGGGCCAGGGGTCAGCGCCAGGAGGCCGGGGGCCCTAGGCACAGACAGCAGCCGGCCCTGCTCCAGCAGCCGCAGGATGTTGGATGTGGCAAAGGCCTCGGAGGCCGAGGAGGACGCCCGCTTCTCCAGGTCTCTGCTCTGGTCTTTCTTCTGCTTGGTGCGGCGGTTCTGGAACCAGACCTTCACCTTGGGTGGAGGACAGGGAGGGGTGTCGGGAAGGGAGAGGGGACAGGCAAAGCAAAGTGGGGTCAGGTGGGAGGAGAAAAGAAGAGGAAGGGCGTGGAGGGCAAGGGGACAGAGAGTGGGGGGAGTAAGGGTGGAGTGAAAGGGGGAAGAAGAGTATTCAGAGTGTCATTAAGGTCTCTCCACACCAGCCTGCTCTGGGTGAACCAGTAAGGGACCCTCGCCCTCGAGTGCCTGCTGCCTGCTGGGTGCTGCTCTAGACTCGGGGAATCAGCAGTGACGAGAGTGGAGGGAATCCTTGATGTGGAGGGGACGGCACAGACAGGGAGGCGGATGGTGCACAGGAAATGAAAACAAACAGCCGTGACTGTCAGGTGGCTCTGAGTGCTTTGAGCAGCATCTCTCAAATTATTTGTGCCGAGGAACCACTTTTTAAAGTTTTCCAGTCTGTTGTGGACCAATGTTTTTGTCAAATACAATGAAAATGGATTACACTTACTTCCATCTCTGCACTTAACCTGTCCTAGACAGATAAGAGTTTGCTGGGGACAGAACGGGGTGCACAGCAGCCCAAGAACCACCCTTTGAGAGGCACTGGTTTGGAAAAAGGCTGCAGGATAAAGAGGGGAGTGGCCGGGGAGGGGACTAGCTTATTAATGCGTGGCAAACATAGCCTCTCTGAAGAGGTGACATTTGAAGGAAATAGCAGTAAGGGAAGGCCAAGGGACAGGCGGCCAAATATGGTTGAAGGAAGCGTTTTGAAAGAAGAAAACCCTCTATGTTTGTCACTCCCGGAACTCAATTGCTCCTCCCACCAGATCCTTGGGAAAGTGGCTCTGTGTGTGGTTGCATTCCCTCCCCTGCCAGGAAGCCCCCCTGGCTTCTCTGCCCCGGTGAGCAGCCACCCTTTTAGGACCTAGGCACCACCCCACGAACTCCCCAGCTTCAGTTTCTCATCTCAAAAATGGGGACAAAAATACCTGGGCTGTTGAAGGGATCAGATAAGGAAGTCCAGGTAGAGGGCCTCACGTGGTGCCTGGCCCACCCTGAATTGAAGTCATCATTTATTGCTCCCTTCTCTGTTCACAGCTCTGAACTAGTGGGAGAGGACAGGCCCAGAAGTCATGATTCCTGTCCTGGGGAAGCTGAGGGTCCAGTGGGATGGTGGCATTAACCCACTCCCAGCAACAAAGGGAGTGGCAGTAATAAGGAGTGTGACCAATAAGGAATGACAAAGCTTTTGCAAAGTGTCTTGTCCTTCTGCAGCTCCAGGGGTACAAGATAGGGTGGATGTGGGTGGCTCTGGGAGGAGGAGGCTCCTGGAGAGGAAGTGAGGCAGGGGCTGGGATCTGGCAGGCCTATGTCTTGGGCCCTTATGAGCTACATTGGGGCTTGTCAATCTGGGCTGCATTTTAAAATTATCTGGAGTCATGTTTTTCAAAATCCCAATGCCCATGCCACATGCCTACTCACTAAATCTCTAGGGGGAGGGGCCTATGTATCCTTTTTTTTTTTTTTTTTTTTTTTTTTTTCTTAAGTTCTGTGTGTGATTCTAATCTGTGAACTGTGATGGAAGTTCAAAGAACTGCAAAGGTTGGGGAGAGGCACCCTGCCCATCTACCTCCTACCATGAGTCCCATAGTCCCTAAAGGGCTGATTCATAAGGCTCACCAAACAAGGGACAAACTGAGTGAGAGACAGGCTCAGAGCCTCTGGGCTCATCCCTCCTCTCCTCCAGGAAGCTTTCAGTTCCACCACAGGGGTCACCCTCTCTCAGGGTTAAATCTGGGTACAGGTCCTTCAAGGCCCAGTTCATTTGCATGCTGGGTAGGCCGGGGTGCTATCCAGAAGCACACTTTCGGAGGCTTTGGCCTCTGTCTTCTTGGTGCCCTTCTGTGGTCTTCCTGTGGGCTGCCTCTTGCCCCCTCCCTCTCCTGGTTCCCCTGGAACTCAGTGAATGCTTGGTACCTTTCACCCCCTAATCCCTTGCCAGACCACACCGTGGTCCATGAGCCATGGTTTTCAACTGGCTGCCCGGACTAGGGAGGTATTTTCTGGGAGATCATCCATCACTCTCTTTGGGCTCATGGTTGGTGTTAAATCCCAAGCCTCCTTGTTGATTTGGAAATGGCATGAATCTCTAAGAGGCTGCTTCCTGTGACTGTGGGCACATTCCTATGAATGGCACTTGTGTATCTGGGATGGCCCTGGTTTTTGTAATCTGGAAGGTACCACCTATTCTGCTGTTCTGGAAGAAGCCATCTTGGGGCAGAGGTGATGGGTAAGGGGCTGAGGACAATTGCTGAAGAATCAGAGCTGCTCTTATCCAAGCCAAGTGGTGATGCTGTCAGTATTGGGACTTGGCAGTTTGTCCTCAGCCTGGATCCTGGGAGCCTGGCCTTGAAAAAGTCCCTCATGCCAGCAGAATGAGGGGAGTCCTGGGGCCAGCCTCCCACCTTTCCTTCCTCTACTGCCACATCTTCTTTTCTTGTTTCCTGCTCTGACTGTGGTCATTCATACAACACATGAACAGCAAGCATCCAATAGGTGTAGGCATTGCCAGGTGCTGAAAAAACAGGAATGCCTAAAACTCTGTGGGTCTCAGACACCAGTAGTGGGGGAAATGGACAGGTCAGTAAGTGTTACAAGACAGTAAGTGTTTTGGTAGAAGTAGCAAACAAGATAGTGGAAAAGATCCTGAGGTCGGACAAATCTGGAGTCAATTATGGTTCTCTCCTTAATTAGTTGGAATGGCATGGGGCAAGTTCCTTAACCTTTCTGTACCTCAGTTTCCTTATCTGTAAAATGGGGATTATAATCATGCCTCCTCATAGGTTTGTTGTAATCACTCAATGAGCTATAATCATGGATTTAGCAAAGTGCCTGGAGACACTGAAGTCTTTTAAGCAATGTGGTTAATGTGGTCAATCTAGTTTGAGATTATACAGAGGTTAATATAGAGGTTGTCAGGTCTTTCCTAGAAACTCTGACTGGAGCCTGGGGGCTGAGCATGGAATCTAAGCTGGAATCTGTATTTTAATGAGAACCCCAGGGGTCCTACATATAACTGGTCTGCAGACCATACTTTGAGAAACACTGCTTTAATTAAGCCCCACATGTTTTCCTTGAAACAAAGCAGGGTGATAAAGTATAAAAACAAGGAGAACTAGACTAAGTGGGACTATCCTTGTTCTCAGATTTGGAGAAAAGCACATGCCACTCTGGGGTGGGGGGTGGGGGGTGGGAGTTATTCTGGTGTGTCCAAGAACTAGATCCCTCTGAGACCCCTTCCTTGCACTCTAGGGCCTCCCTGTAATGCACAGCCTGGGGGTCTGGGCAAGGCCAGGCCCAGAGATCAGTTGCATTCTGCCTGGGTCCCTGTCCGTATATCCGAAGGACACTTCAGCCTGCAGAACTTTGTAAGTGGTGGGAAGGGAAGGCTTCATGGTTCTGCGCACCAGGTCCTATAAGGGGGGGTTCTCATTAAAAGTGCAGACAACTTGGGGCACCTGGGTGGCTCCGGTTAAGCATCTGACTCTTGATTTCGGCTCGGGTCATGATCTCACTGTTTGTGAGTTCGAGCCCCACATGGAGCTCTGCACTGACAGTGTGGGGCCTACTTGGGATTCTCTCTCTCTCTCATTCTCTCTCTCTCTCTCTCTCTCTGTATGCCCCTCCCCCACTCTCTCACTCTGTCCCTACCACCCCCTCTCTCTCAAAATAAAAATAAGCATTAAAAAAATAATAAAAATGCAGACAACTTAACTGGGCACATAGTGGTTAAGGAAGAGATATGGAGTGAGAACGGGTCCTGAGTAAGTCCTCATTTTGTCTGTCTGGATTAGGACCCTCTTGATGTCCAGGAAGGGGGTAAAGATGCTGGTTGGCAGGAGGAAAAGAAGTGGACACAGAGAGGGAGGCAATCACTTGGAGAGCAGTTGGGGGCATATTCAGGAGAGCACTAGGGGGAGAGCTGCATGTGATGTTGAAGTCCTGGGATCCAACATGGTCTTCAGCTTTCGGTCGGTCCCTATGAGGCCTGGCTACACCGTGGTCCCTGTTCTTGGACTTACACAAGATTGTGCCTCCTGTTCTATCCCTTAGGAGTCCCTCTATTATTTGAGCACACTTGAAGGAATCTCTTACCTTTCCCACAAAAGAGGCCTGACCAAGACTCCTAGGTAAAATCAGAGAAACACCAGCCCCCGGAGAAATATCTGACATACCTTCCTGACATCTCCACTTGGATCTCAAACTGAACTGATGCAAAACAAAACTCCAGATTCCTCTCCCACCTTCCTGCTCCTCCCCAGCTTTCTCAACCTGTTACATGGCATCACTGACCACTTCTCACCATTCACCAGTTCGAGCCCAAACCATTTCTCTTTCCCTTGCCCTGTGCACGTAAGTCATGATGAACGAGTCCTAACAGTTCTATCTCCAAATTAGATGACATCTCAGATCAGTTCACTTCTCTCCTCCACCATCACTCAGAGTTCAAGACAACATGGCAGTGGCCCCCACCTCATCCACTCATTCACCATTCTCCAGATGGTGACCAGAGTGAGCTCTGTAAAATGCTGGTCCTCTCATGGCACTCTCTCTTCAACGCCTCATCATGGCCTCCAAACACTATATGCTCTGCCGCCTACCTTCCCTATTACGCTTCGACTCCAGCCACGTTGGCCTTCAGACACTTCCAGAATATTCTATGCTAGTTCCCACCTCCAGGTCTTCACAGTTGTTACCCTGTGTCTTGACTCCTCTTCTGGCGCTTGTCCTGGCTGTCTCTTCCCTGTCATTCACACCTCAGCCCACTGTCATTCATCTCCTTTCCTGATGACCTCAGTCAAAGATTCCTAGTCTCTATCATATCACATTTTATCTGCCTCATAGTACTCATCACTCTTTTGAATGCTATTTGTCAGGGCACCTGGGTGACTCAGTTGGTTAAGCGTCTGACTTTGTCTCAGGTCATGATCTCACAGCTTGTGAGTTCAAGCCCCTCGTCAGGCTCCGTGCTGACACTTCAGAGCCTGGAGCCTACTTCATATTCTGTGTCTCCCTCTCTGTCTGCCCCTCCCCCGCGCACACTCTGTCTCTCTCTCTCTCTCAAAAAAGAAGAATAAACATTAAAATAAATAAATGTAGGGGCGCCTGGGTGGCGCAGTCGGTTGAGCGTCCGACTTCAGCCAGGTCACGATCTCGCGGTCCGTGAGTTCGAGCCCCGCGTCAGGTTCTGGGCTGACAGCTCAGAGCCTGGAGCCTGTTTCCGATTCTGTGTCTCCCTCTCTCTCTGCCCCTCCCCCATTCATGCTCTGTCTCTCTCTGTCCCAAAAATAAATAAACGTTGAAAAAAAAAAATAAATTTAAAAAATAAATAAATAAATAAATAAATAAATAAATAAATAAATAAATGCTATTTGTCTTTCTCATGCAGAATGGAAGCTGCCTGAGGCTAGGTGCCTGATCTATTTTGTTCTCTGATATATCCCCAGTGCCTAGAACAGTACCTAGTATATAGTAGGTATGCAGTAATATTTTTGAACAAACGTATGGGTGAATATATGGAGAATTCCACAGAATTCTAGCTATGTAACCAAGGGCAAGTTAATAAACCTTCTGAGTTTCCTGAAATGGGGATAATATTACCCATAAAGCCAGCTTTTAATAAAGATTAATCTGGTGAGCTAATGAATGTGCTTGCTTTATTTTTATTTTTTTTTAATATTTTATTTTTAAGTAATCTCTGTGCCCAACATGGGGCTCGAACTCACAATCCTGAGATCATGAGTCACGTGTTCCACCCACTGAGCCAGCCAGGTGCCCCAAATATTCCTGCTTTAAATTTTCAGCATGTTATTTAATTTCTTTGTAGCTCAGTTTCCCTTTCTTTAACACAGAAATAATAAAGGCCTATTCTGGTATTTTTAAAATATTTATTTATTTAATTAATTTTGAGAGGGAGAGACAGAGTACAATTTCGGGAGGGGTATAGAGAGAAGGAGAGAGAGAGAGAGAGAGAGAGAGAGAGAGAGA